AACAACAATGAACAATCAATAATAGTAATTATAAGGATAGAAGAATATATGACTCATCTGACACCTGTCACACTGTTTACATATCTGACTAAACAGACAACCAATCATTATCATTCTCCCCCACACATCATTTACCGCATTCGAGATTTGTATGATTAACATATTCTATCAGTAGTTCCCTGAGTGTTGCATAAGGAAGCGAAGTAGGCTTTTCTGAAAATGCTAGAGTTTTTATTAAGCTGTCGATTTCTTTTCCGATGAATGTAAGGAAATGAGCCACAGTATTACCATCGTCAAAATCTTCCTTGATCATAGACCAGATTTCGAACATTTCCATGTAATCCTCAAAAGCATCAAAATCTGAATGTATGTCCAACCATTCTATCACAGGCTCCATCGCCACGCCAATCAGATTATTAGGAGTATTTCAATTATTGTACGAACAAGGAATGCCAGAAATAACTCAATTTAATCAAGAATTACTAGTTAAACACGAACGAATGAATTATATTTGGAATTCGAAATCAAGCAGTAAACTAATACAGAGGAATCATTAGTTCATACAAACACCACAAGAAACATTGCATTTTTTTATCAAGATGATTTACACTGAAATTCATATATTTTCCAGTCCACAATCTGGTGATTGAAACAATTTTGTTCCTCTATCACTTGTATGAATTTTCAAATGTTTGTTAGTGTCGATTTCGTAGATGCAACTGGCAGCTTAATCTAAACTCCTTTATTTCTATATAGAGTAGTGATTTTCTTGAAATTCAGTGTTTTATTTCACAACGTTTCTCTTTGAGCAACATGTCGGTTGGTTATCCAGCTCTAATACTGATATACACGCTTTCTAAATGCGACTGAATCCTGCTATGTGAGTGAGAAGACAAAGAATCATCAGGTCATTTTTACTCTGAAGCGATAGTGAGTGAAACGGTGAGTTTGTGAAAGGGCATAATCGCAACTGACGCATATCAGTATATATATAATATACCCTTGTGGGCCAGGGTAATTTTACATTGGTTTTCAGGAGAACCAGATACCATCCGGACTTTCACGTAAAAACCCAAACAGTGCAGCTCAACCCCGTTTAGCAGAGGAACCAGACACCGTAAAGGCCTCAACGCTACAATCTGAATAGTACAGATCAATCCTGTGGCGCAACCACACAGGTACCAAGAACCCTGGTGAATAGTAAAATGAACAAGTCAAATTTTACGGATATCAAATGTTGCTATTCAAAAACAGGTTTCAACCTTGTTTTTAAATGTTCAGCGTCAGTAATTTTGCGTGAAAAACAGAATACTGGTCTACCTCACTGCTCCAATACCTCACCAATACCCACAGGTGATGCATCAGAAATGTAACTTTAAAGAACAGCACCACTTTGAAGAAACTTTGGTAGACTTTATAAGCATGATACGTGCTCCTCACCACGTTTAAACGAGTTGTATGTCAAGATTTGATGAAGACGATTGAGACGACAAGAAAAATCAAGAACAAATCTGGAGCAGTATTGAAGAGCACCCATTAGTGAACTGAGTTCTGTGAGATTTCTCTGAGGTCATCCATTGGTCAGTGGAGCATGTCGCTTCATATCTGGTTTAAAACCGTTTCCATCAACTAGGTGTACGAGACATTCAAAATTAGATTCACAAAATGAACAGTTGTTCGTATTTACGGCAATATTCTTCTCAATTAGACGACGCAATAAAGCAATAAGTTTGTGAATATGAGCTACTGTAACAGAACCATGAATAATAAGATAATCTTGATAAACCTCAACACCTTTAACATCACTGACTACATTATTAAACACTGTCTGAAATATGAATGGAGAACAACTCAAATCAAATCTAAGGTAGTTGTATTCGAGTGAACCGAAAGGAGTGTTAACTTTTGTTGAAAAGGATAACGATCGAACCAAGGGAATTTGAAGAAAGTCATATTTTGTGTCGAATTTCGGGAATACCATAGGACCATGAAGTCGACTAGGAATATCTTCAGCTTCCACATAATCTAGGGATCTTCCGATCAGACTTCAATAGTGTGACAATAGGAGTACCCCGTTCTGAAGACTGGTTCGGTTCAATTATCCTTTTCACACACAAAGCATTCAGGGTCTTATCTACTGCCTTTGAAGACCATTAAGATTTGGTTGTCTTTTGAAATAAACACTGGATCACTTTGCGATTGAACTATTAGCTGAGCCGTTTAGGTAGCATTATGAATTGTTAGTCTATTAAGAAATATTTTCAAATTCTGGAGAATTCTTAATGGGATTGAGTAGATGGTTGGATTTCTGTTGTTAGTTGGAAACTATACTGACAGTGTATTTTCCAATTTTACTTTAAAACAGAGATGTTTTAAGGTTGATAATGATTTTCGATAACTATCATATTTGTAAACATTGTTTATAAACAACTGTTGCTTTCGTTTCTGTGTTGTAAGCAACTGACGATAATCCGCAAGTTGAAAGCATTAATGCTATTCTGTTACGCTCGGTGTCGTTTGATTGAAATTCATTGACGAGAAATATTGTACGAACTTTCAACTTGATTTCAGACTTCACTTTGATTTTAATTAAATAATTGAAGAGAATTATGGAATCTGTTAATAATTGTAGAACTCAGTAGGTAAATGGATAATGAGATGGCGTTTGAAGCGAATGGTAATGTGTTCCAGTCGATGAGTGAAAATCAACTCTGATGTGCAGGAACATCTAGCTGACGAGTCCCAAATAGGCGGGAATCACACATCACACTGGATTCCACTACTAGCAATTAATAATTGTGGTGCTGCTAGTTATATGTTCTAGTTGTAACGAGACGAGAAAATCATTAGTCATAAATGGTCTCGTCATGTAATTGATGACCGTCAGATGATGTGTTGTGAGGTTTCAGCTGAAATGTCGCTACACGCCCTTAATTGATTGGCAAGCAATTAGACATTTTCGAAAATAATTCGTAAATAGATGGAGGAGAGGTTTTGAAGAACGTTTGTATCACAGATTGTGTTATTTTCAAGTGATAAACATTTTCCAGTGAATCACATAGGAAAATGTGTTTGGGAAAATTTCCAGACTCATTAAATATATGTTATACTGCCAAACCAATGTAACAGTTATCACGAGACGAATCAATCGTCAGATATTCAAGTGAACTATATAAACATTGTCCCTGATACATAGTAGAGGATTGATAAGTGACCATTTCGTCACAATTTATGCACTCACTGGTCTCTCTGTAGATGACCTGTAGTTTTAATTATGTTTTCCTCAACTAGTGATTGTGCTATTCATGTCATCTTAAATCTATCCGGAAACGAAGGTAAAACTCTAATTTATAATTGACAGAGACGATGAAAACGTAACACAATTTCAGAGAAATGCTTTAAGAAAGAACAAAGAGTATCATATTCACGGTAGCTATCTATGTAATCAAGATTGATTTTTGAAGCTTGTTTTCTCTACACACTTTTGACTACTCACGTGATACAGTACTAAGCGACTTGATGTTATTGCAAAATGTCGTATTTTATAGGTGAACAAAGAACAGAAGAAAGCATAAATTGCATGTCTCTCAAGAACACTTACATTTTGCTTGACAAGCAAAAGCACTTTAGCTATTTATTTACTTATATTAACACATAAATATTTGTACAGTAGGGCACCAAATATATATGCGCCGCACAAAACAATGAGAATGGGGAGAGAAAGGTAAGGAGCGTAAAAGAAAAAAAAGAAGAAAAGAAACAATAACGACCAGATTAGTGTAAGGAAGTGTAATAGTTATAATAATAATAATAATAATAATAATAATAACGGGGGGAACGGAAGGGCTCAACCAGAAGAAATCTTTCAGTTAAGGAAGATACAACCACTCTTTATGAAGAAAGCAAAAAAAGGTTACAGCAGGATCGCCACTGGCTTCTATTCTGAGCCATATCTGATAATGTCTCCAGCTTGTTTTCTTCACACACTTTTGACTACTCACGTGATGCAGAACTAAGCGACTTGATGTTATTGCAAAATGTCGTATTTTATAGGTGAACAAAGAACAGACAAAGCAATAGGACATTTTCTCTCTAGTAGTTTAGACAACAAGAATCATATCTCACTCAACATAATTATTACTTTGAATAGTGACATTGTGTCACATGTTCGAAACGATCTCGCACGATCTACCCTCTAGCCATCCAAGTAGCATCACTACCCTTCAGTCAGATAGCGTATATTATGTTGAGTAAATAATCCCTTTCTACATCATTCATTTAAATTATCACATTTACATCTATAAGGGGTTCGCACAGATTCTTCAATCTGACCATCTTATCTCAACATAGTGCACGCAATGTTGAGTCACCTAGACTAGTGGCCACATTGTAATTTGGTCGATATCATTCGATCTACACTAAGAACGACTTGACGCACATGATATTGGTCACCACTCAGTGATCGATCAATTGTAAAACTATACATGTCTAGTCAAATAACCCTTTGATATTATTGTCCATTCATCTACACGACTATTTTTTGCCATTAACCAACTGACTAATATTTACATTTGTCCAATTATTAACTCATTTATATTCACGGTGTTAATTATTATAACCCATGGTATTGATATTAAAATTGGTCGAAATTTAGGATGGAAAGTTAGTATGAAAAGATAATACTTTCCCCCCCTCAAATCTAATTTTTGTTATTTTCTTTGCCAATACTTCTCCATTATGAACATTTATACCTTTCTCATTATCATATTACAATCATTTGTGAACAGTGTAAAGCATAATGTTTCTCCATAATCATTCCATATGAAATTGTCTGAGTTAACGTGACAACTGTTTTCATGAAAAATATCAGAATTGTTATTATGTGTAAAATATTGTCCATTTTCAAATGTAATTTGATCTATACCACAGAAAGCACTATGTACATTACAATTTAATACAATCTAATATAAAACAACGTTTCTGTTCTCAATATTCATGTTTCATGGATTCCAACGCAATTTCCGACCATTACATCCATCATTCCACCATCGTGCCACACGCGGAACCCAATATGGACCAAATGAATGAGATGTATGAGCTAGTAGACACATTGCACATTGAGGTTGGGCATCGTAATCATGTATGATTCCATGACCATGCCATGCAAAATATTCATTATATGCAGTATCGTTCTTGTCCAAATACTTCAAATAGTCTGCCAGTTTCCCTGGTGATTCGAATTGATCAACGTGAATAAATGAGTATGGAGGAGCGACTCTTTCATATTCTTCTATCGATGCACCCATCACAATTGGAAGTATATCGTTTCTTGGAATGAATAATAAGTTTGCAATTTGTTAAACACTTATCGAAATCTCATCATACAAGCGAACCGTGAACATTCGCAAAAATGTCAAAATTCCAACTTACAGAACGATGGAGGTGAGATTTCAGTTTTAGCCAGTTTCACCGTTTTATTTTGACGTGACAGATACAGGAAAATATGGTCTATGATTTTTTTAATATACATTGGTAACTGCTAGGAATTATTTATGGATTATTACTACATATTGATTTTGGTATTGTTTGTTTGAATCGTTCCATTGATGTTTATGACTGACATAGATCAGTCTCTAATTGACATATGTGTATCCTGTGAAGATTGCCTTGATATTGCATCCATCACAAGCATTATAAGCAGAGATGGATGGAGGCTAGTAGTAGAATCAAGGAGCGCATGGTGCTGGGTTTGATTCCACGGGTGAACATCAACTGGGTGGTGCAGATATATTTAGCTGAGGAGCATCGAGTATGATGGGACGCGTATTCTGGATTCTACTGCTAACCAACATTCATTTAATATTGCATATATTCTTATTAGATAATTATTAAGTTACTAGATTATATATATAGTATTCGGGTTTCTTTTATCATAAGTTTTCGTTTGACCTGTTGTCTACTGCAATACGTTTAACCATTCTTAACTTATTCGCAATTTATTTGTTACAATATCCCACAATCACAGCCACATCTGTCATGAACTTCTCATATTCTCCCTTCTGTAATGTGAAGTTTATTCCGAGTATTGAGCATTAGATCCCTCATTTTGTATTATGTGCATTATTCTGTTAAGCATCTTCAGAAGACCTCATTGAAATCTCAGACAGCTACAACGTAGGACTAGGCACATATATGCATCGGTCCAAGTTGCTATACCTCATTAACACAACAAGATGGACACCGAATTCATAAAAGTAGTTAATTCAGAGGTGGTAGTGATATATAAAAGAAAGATTGCATATAAGGTGTTGACGCAGACCAGTCCTGAAGCAACAACTTGCATTTAGAGGGAGAGAAGAGCATTCCAAACATTCTGGCATTGTTGCTTAGTGCTACCAAAAGACTCTGCATTTTATCAGCGTCTTCATCAAATAGGACATCATCATCTGCGTATTCTAAGTCGATAAGTGGACCTTCTGGAAGGAGATCAATACCCGAGAATTCAATCGACGAGAGCGTTATTTCCATCAATAGGTCTACAATTAAGTTAAACAAAAATGGAGAAAGTGGACAGCCTTGACGGACACCACTTGAGGTTGCAAAAGCAGATGACAGTTCACCATAAGCTCTGACTCGACTGGTAGTATTCGAGTAAAGGGCCTTCACAAAGTTATGTACTTCTCAGGTACGCCTTTCAATAACAGACACTCCCACAAAACCTCTCGGCCAACAAAGTCAAGTGCTGCTTTTAATTAAAAATGACTATCATTGTCGGACGCCGATGAGCTTGCCTGTGTTCTAGAACCTGACGAATCGTGAATATGTAGTCGATGTAGCCACGACCAGGTCTAAAGCCAGCTTGATTCTCTCGTGTTTGCAGTCCACGAGTCTTAGTTAGGCGTCTTATAATTATCGAGGCTAGTACTTTAGATACTATACTACTTAAACTAATCCCTCTATGGTTTTCACAGGATGATTTTGATCCCTTCTTATATATTGGGACAATCAGTGATTGCGACCAGTCAGATGGAATTGTGTCCAACTCCCAGATCTTAGTTAAAATGTTAGTCAACCTAATCGCTAAAATTGGACCACCATACTTAAAGACCTCTGGAGCCAATCCATCTGGACCAGCTGCCCTTCCTCGTTTCAGAGAAACTACAGCATTTTGAACTTCAGCTAGAGTTGGGGGGCCTACTTCAATGTTCCATTCACACTGTCTGGTAATAGATGTTAGTTGTAGAGTAGCTGAGGGCCAGCTGAACTGTTCTCTGAAATGTTCCGCCCATCGTTTTAAACGTCTGGACTAGGAGCAGATGAGTGTCGTCTTTTTCCAAAATAGCTGACTTACACTTGACTTAGTAATTCCAGTTTCTTTTATTAGTCTGTAGAGCTGTTTTGTGTTCCCTATAGCCGCTGCTCTTTACATCTCTTTTGCTTTCGTTGCCCACCACTGCTCACGGTCGTTTCTTAGACTTTTGTTTAACCTAGACCTGATTTGTTTAGGCTCTTCATCGTGTTCAGAACTTGATGGGATGAGTTTGCGAGAATCCATCAGTGCAATAGACCTTGAAGAAATCCACTGGTTCTTTGTAACCCTGTGGTTTAAATCACTGATAGATGTCACTGCTGTTTCCACAGCTGCTTTTATATCTTTCCAAGCAACATCTGGGTCAGCGTCGTTTTCTGAACTACGTAATTGTGACCTTAGTTGTTCCTAAAACCTACTTTTGATTTTCTCGCTACTCAATTAAGTTCTAATGGGTCTTTTTAGTTTGTTTTTTTACGTCCATTGAGGCGCAAGCAGATGCGTGCCCGTATTAAGGCATAGTTGGAGTCCAAGCAGGTACTCCAGAATGAGCGACAATCTTCTACCGACCCTCTCCAACGATGACTGATGGCAATATGGTCTATTTGAGTCCATCGTAGGTTTGGTGTAGGGGGTCACCATTTTAGAGGATGTTTCCGCTTATGCTTAAAATTTTTGTTTGCTAAAAATAAACGATTTTCTAAGCACAGTTGCAGCAGACGATCACTATTGTCTGTTCGTTGTGCTGGAATACTAAAATACTCACCTAAATGCCTTTCTGTTTGGTTTAAACTACCTATCTGGGCATTAAAGTCACCTGCTACGAGTACTATGTGTGAATGTTTAGCTTTCTGAAGGAGTTCAGATAGCTTTCTGTAAAATTCATCTTTCACTTCATCTGAGCTGCAGTCGGTGTGAGTGTAGACAGAAACGACAAAGAGGCAACAATGTGTATCCCTATCCTTCCGAATTTTTACGAAGCCGTTTAGCCGAACAGCACATAAACCACTGTTAACGGGGATCCACCATAACAGTGCTTGTTCCTCCCTCATGCTTAGTGCTATGCCCATACCTGCCAGTCCACGAGAACTGTCCATCGGATCACCAGATACATGGAGGGTGTGTCTCGTTGGCTCTCTGGTTTGCCAAGGTGAGGTCAAGTGGATGACCACACTGGGATCCTGTATGCGTGTTTCAGAGACACAGCATACATCAATGGTACGAGATTCTAGGGTTCTAGCCAAGGAAGCCAGTTGACCGATTTGATATAGGGTACGTACGTTGAAGGCTCCAATGTGTAGTTTGGAGCGAGGTTTCAGCAGACCTGGGAAAGTGTTTTGAGCGCTAGAATCGTTGGCTATGGTGGCACTTGAGAGGGAAGCCGAAAAAGGAAGTTTAGAAGTGAAAGTCGATGTAAGAGAAATAATAGGAAGTGAAGACGGAGGTTGATCATGAATACAGTGGTCTTGAGTGCTGTTAGAGTTATTAGATCGGTTATCACTTCCTGGTCGCCCACACGTGGAAGGGTTCTTCTGGAGGTATCTGAGAAGGAAATCGGACTAAACGTGGTCTTAGTGACCTGGGAGCGTGACCGCAGTGCCCAAGGGACAACTGCTTGAGGTCGGTCACACAAGACCTTTTTATGTGTAATTTTTGTGTTAGCTCCGTACTTGTTGAGACCTTACCACCGGAGACGGATATCTGTGGGATAAGGCAAGGTGTGCATATTTAGGGTCGATCTTTTCTAACCCCACCCCTCCTTGTGGGAAGGCAGCATCGCTGTCATTCTGGTTGTGTGAAGGAAAGACCTTACTGCTGTCACACCTCTGTACAGTCAGCAGCACGACTTCGTCTTCGGACCTTGGATTTGTTGCTTTTAGTCTTACCGCTCTTCAACCGACCTGTCTGACATGGTAGGATCTTGAGGAACGGTTGTTCCAGCCAGCATAGTTCGGTTGCTTCATCACGATAGGCAAGTTCGACCACCACTTCAAGGTAGCAACAACGGTTGGGTCACTGAAATCTATTTCACATTGAAGAATCGTTATTTGTCTGCGATTATGTGAAGTTGAAGAACACACAGAACTGAAAACAACTGCCAAACCATATCAACGTCAGAGTCCTCAATACGAACGTCAATACAGAAACTTCGAGAACTACCACAACCATCATCAAAAGCATACAAGTATTTGTAAACAGTTGTCCATGCAAAATAATCGATTTCCATTGAGTGGATACCATCAGCAATAACCCACTGTGAGAGAGAAAAAAACAGCTCCCATCTGAAGAGTAAATTAGGAAAAGACGATGGAAGTAGACAGGAAATAAATTGAGGAAATCACCAGACTGCATCACGATACAAGCACTAATTTGGAATCGTGAATGTGAACGCAAAGGAGTAAGACCAAAGAACTCGCGTCGTCGGCAATCGTAAGTAGATATGAAAAGGATGAATAACAAGTGGAAAGAACTGGAAAGGATTGTCCAGGACAGAGTTGGATGGAGAATGGTGGTGGTTGGCATATGCTCCTCCACGAAGGGTAACGGGCGTAAGTGAGTAAGTAAGTAAGTAAGTGCTAAATGACTATGAGTTGCCGCCTATCACTAAAACCAACATCACTGTAATACATTGCAGTTCACTCTGCCAATTTCATTTCGTTGTTCTGAAATAATATGACAATTTGAGACGATGATTATGAACACATATAAATAAATTGATGACTTTGATTACACTCTTATGCAAGATAAATACCAAATAACTTACTTCAATGCATTTTTATACAACTTCTCTGTTATGTATTCACTGCACAAACTATTTTCGAAGCTCAAATAAAACTTGTAATTTTCGCGAATCATTTTCAAGCAACCAACTGATGAGGTAAAAGTCGGATTATACTTTGGACAGGATAACGTGCCACATTGACCATAAATATCAAGCTGAAAATAGAAAATGAATCGGTGAGCTATGGAACAGATAAATTACATGTTTTAATGATGAAGCTGGTAACCGCATCGAATTCACTGTGCGTATGTTTGATAAAACGATCAGTTTCCTCCTAAAATTTTAATAGTTGAGTTCGTAGGCAGATCTAAACTAGAACATCATTGAAAACGTGAGAGCACTGCACAGCCATTTCGGCCTAACTATGGACACATCAACAGCAGCACTTCTGTATCCAGCATTTCTAAATACCTATCATGAACACAGTGAGCTCACTCATGTACATGCATATAACACTTGGACATAAAAGTAAGCGATCAATGAGTATGGTGTAAGAATGCCTGGATTGGCAATCTTGTGAGATCAGTTTAAGGAATAGTCACATGTAGTTATATTGATCCAGTGATACAGTTCCCTACAAAATGACGATTCGATGAAATCATCTTGAATCTGAGCACTATCCCTGAAGTTTCTGAGATGCTCATTTGTTTATATGTATAGACTAACCAACTTGTACATTTATAGGATAAATTCTCAATAAAGTGAAAGACAATCAAATATTCATAGTTGGTGATATTGATTATAAATTCTAGTAATGAACACACATCGTTATAAAATCAAACACCTTCACTGGTCGTTAAACATCAACAGTATATGACCAATGAGTAACTACGAAACCTCGCTCAAAAGAATGAGAAAGTGAGGATGCTTCACCTTTTATTTGGAGCTCATTAGATAGACACACTAAGTGCTTGAAAAAGGAATTGGGCTTTCATTTAATTAGTCTCTGAACGATCTAAAGATATTGAGAAATGTTTTTAGACTTGTTGAAGAGGAAACAATCCGAGTTATACTTACTACTGAATTGGTTTCGGATAGCATTGTGTATCACGTAGGTAGGCATCAAGTAGGTATCGCTAAAGAATCAGTGCTTGGACTCCATCGAGAACGCATACGTGATCGAGAAGTCGGAGTTTCAGAGATGGAGACCTGTTGTCAACACAATGATAGAACACACAATCGTGCAGATGTGGGAATAATACACTGATGATATATACTTCACGCATTTCTGTGAATCAATCAAGACAATTTCAGTAGACCTTGTTTCATTATATTCCAATCATTATAAGTTTGTTTCTCCTTCATTTGAACCTACAGGATCCAATCAACTTTCCAATCACATTTGTCATCATTTCATATGAAATGATTACAATTACAAGTGACAAGTATTGCATGTTTCATAGTGGTGTTTGTGTGAACTAATGCTACCTTTGTGCCCAATGTCTGTCTGATTTCGAATTTCAAACACCAAACGTTCGTTAGTGCCCACCTAGTTCTCTCAACTTAGATTGCTATATTTCGGGAATTCTTGGTTCGTACAGTAATTCAAATACTTCCAATTATTTTACTAATGCTATTTACATTTTGTATTTTGTCAATTATTCGTTTACTAAAAATTATTGAAAAACGTGTAGAAACTCAATGTTAAGCTTTGTCAAACTCACCGGGATATATCGTGAGAGTTCTTTGGCGTATTGCATTCTTGGACTTTTCGCTATACAGTTACTCACAAACCATGCAACTTTTTTCGATTTCCCAGTAGCGAAGTTTCTAGAAGGTAAAGGATATCGTGTTTCTGGTCCATGGTGCTTCATGTATGGCTCATAGGAACCGTATGGTGAGTAAATCGTTGAATCCAGACGGAAGGAGATAGTGTGATTAATCTTGATATCAGAGGGATAAATTCAAGTAAAATGATATCATGGATATTGAAATGAATGAGCAAGTTAGTAGTTTTGATATTAGAATAATGTTTTAGTAAAGTGGTTCGTGGGTAGCGTTTAGTTTTGTCGTTTTGGACTATAGATTAACGGTACAGACCTGAGTGTTTTGATCACGACCTCTGGTGTGGTGGTGTATTTACAATGCTCAAGAGTTCTTTACTAAGATGAAATATCTGTTCAGTGCTTCCTGGTTTTCAAAGGTAAGAGTTTGTGTATTGTATCCAAAATAAAGGAATATTTACAAGTAGATTAGTCTTGCTCGTGAATAAACATGACATATGTAATTAGTGACATCTATGATTCATGTGGACAAATCGAAATCTCTAACACTCTATTTATTATGCAAATCCATTTGTGTCAATTAGTTGCATAGATGCAAACGAAATGATAAAAAATCGTCCCGATAATGGTGACATGAATGACACGTCGAAAGTATTTACGACAGATTTTTACTGATTAGTTTAAGCGGATATTAGGCATATATATAACAATGAATAATGAACAAAGTATAGAGATCACTTGTTCAATGTATCTACGTCAACAGTGAAATCTACTGTTAACAAATAAATGTTAGTATAAGGATTCGAATGAAGTAAGCTCCCGAAAATGTCTTGAACGCAGCCAAAGAACGATGCAGTCTAAGTTTTTTTTTGGGTTTACAGCCTGTACCTATTAAATCCTAACTACAGGTAATATGCCTTGTGGCATATTACATAGATATATCAGAATATCCTGTAATAGTGTGGTTAATAATATTTTGGAAACTGTCGGTTTTCTGTAGAATGAAAATATACCTCGAGTATCATTTGACTATCACTCCTTTATATCGATATTCTGGACATATTGAAGAAATTTTCAATCAAATGGAACTTACTGATCTAAATGAAGGCGTACATATTATACGTTGTCTAATCGAAAGCAAGCTAATTGGTTAGTGGATGATCCTGGAGGTGAATGAATAATCGAATGGTATTTAAGCGATCAACATTTTGGCTAGTGTCTATCATGTGATCTAGTGGTCATCACGCTACAAAGGAATATACAAATTGTGACTGTTCTAATAACATTGTTTGTTAAGTAAGTTAATAAAAGGGCTTAACCAAAATTAACCATAATCGAAATTGGTTGTAAGATAGTTGCGATAATAGTGTAAAGTGGTGAAATGAATTCTATGGAGTTCCGCCAAGAGGTGAACATTATTTTCATTTGAATAATTGAATCTTCAGTTGGAAACTATATAAAATTTCATGAACTAATCAATGAATATCCATTAAATTAATGAATGTCTTCACCTGAATTCGAACATTGACCACGAATTCGAAGCTAAAATTGCACACGAATTTATTTATTTATCTTCTTCAAAACATCCCATATAAAATCAATCACAGTGTAACATGTGTGCTAAAGCAAACCAGGTTTAAACGTTTTCGCTGGACAACTTCTACTGTTGTGTGACACATAGGTATGTGTTTCATGGGAACTCATAAACTTCACACAATTAATCCATTTCGTGGATCAAAATGAAGAATGGTGACATTATTCGTTGAGTAACACGAATCTATTCACACTTTGTAGTCCTAGTCAGCTACATACAACCGTAATGAAATGATAAAAATTAGTAATATTACTATGGCCAGAATTACTCACATCATTTTCCAGTGTACCTGCCATAGCAATATGTACAGGCGACTCTTCTATTAAACTAAACCATAATTGCTCTGGAGGTCGAATTCCATTTGGCACTTTATCTTCTGTCAGTATAAGTGCATCAGCTTCTCGCCATCTGTTCATGTCAGTGATAACTGCACATTTCGAAGCATGACATTTTGAAAAGTTCATTGGTCTAAAAATTGTACGATGCCCATATTTGAGAAACGTCTTCACCTGAAACATGAGTTGAATACAAATTCATGTGTTGATTTTCACAATTTAATGAGCATCATATCTAACATCTATTTCATACATAGTCCAGTAATCAAACGCACAAAATATAATTTCGTCAATCTCATATCCAAGTGAACGGTATATGTCCAAATGTTTTATGGAATGGATATAGTTGTGAACAGCAATGAAAAATAGGATTCGAGGTCCTTTCCTTCGGAGATTCATCAAAATCCAGACAAGATCATAAACAATGGGATAATTTACAACCTTTCTATCAATGATATTTATCCTTATGGTTAGTAATGATGGCGAGTTTTATTATTGATGTCATTCATGCAATTGATGCAATTTGAATGAAACGATCACGTGATGTGAACATCAATTTGATGGAAAGTTTGAAACTGACGTTATTTCACACTTGCCATCCACAAACATCTGAAGAACGTGTCTTCAACTCCTCATATATCTCACCATAAACATCCCTTTTACAAACATCATCTCTCAACCAAAGTTTCTGTGATGATTCAACAACAGACCTGGTGGTGAGTGGATCACTGTGACGTAAACTACTATGAAATTGAACAATGTACACAAATATTTTGCACACACAATCTCGGTTATTTTGAAATATCAATGAATAATTAGTAAGGATCAGTTAATTAGAAGACAGTCAGTCTATTCAACATCAAAGAATATTTCTAATAGTCAACTTACCATCTTATTCACACCCAATGAATCATATAATTTCTCAAGTCTATTTTCTTCCAGACTATATTTCAGTGGGTATTTTTGAACGGACGTTTTACTGATAGGGGAATATATTTTGTGTAATACACTAGCAAGATCTGATTCTGACCCGTTTGGAACAGATATATTATTGCATGAAAATTCTATTGTTTTAAGTATTACATCATGATCGACTTGATTGAATCTCCATTGAAAAAGACTTGGTAAAATGTTGATCAACCATAGGATCAACAGAATAATTGATACACCGTAGAACAATTTGACTGTCAATGTATATTTATCATTTCGTACAACTATATCAAAACTTTCACGCATGATGTTTATTACAGAATTGATTGGAAGTCAGTTATAAGGACTGATCACTAGAAATGTGCGATAATATCTGAAAATTGTAAAACGGTCATTAAAGCACTGATAACAATCACTGATTACAAACTTTCATTAGTGAAATATCATAAGCCACATTATAACGCATTCATGTCATCTAGTTGAGAAAATATTAATGTAACATATACAATTGTTATTCATTGACAAATTGTTTATTGCCATAACAATTGCATGCACACCAGATTGTAGTGTGAAAGTACATTAATGTCATCAGTGTTTGATTTGTGAATTAATCGACTACTATGCATTACAGGCTTGAATCGAAGTCACTAATTGAAGCCTTTGCTGATATCACTAACCAATGAATGTAGGACAAGAGACAGACGACTGTTTTGTCGCTAAATGAGACGATTCAGCAGTGTGCGTCCACGACAGTCACCTACTGGGAATCCAACCCAGTACATTGAGTCTCGTGTCTTAATAAAGTTACTGCTCACTCACGATCAATTCATATATCTCAATGAAAATATCCAATATAAATTAGTGATGTAACAAATTATCAACAATCGGTTTTTTGAATATATTCAGTTTACATTACCCATACCTTGGTCTATAGAATGATTCTGTTGAAATTGAAATGAATGGTGTACATTTCGGTCGAAATATATATATTTACACACACACACACACACACAGAGTATTACATTACACCATTGCATTCATTAATTTTAATACATTATTACTTATTCAAATGATCATTGGTGAATTCAAGTATATACCATGTATTCATATAATTGATCCAAAGACCACCACAACAACATTAATACAATAGTAATGAGTTCATTTCATTTCAGCATTATTTCATAAATAAATTGTTTATTTATTTATTTATTTATTTGTTTGTTTGTTTTTGTGCTCTTATATTCAGTATTAAGCATTAAATATTACTCATTTTTAAAATTATATACATTAGATTGGCAGCTATTACTTTGTCCTACAGCCTGATGAATTTCTAATGCCTTGTAGCGGTAAATAAATCCCCAAAATAAATAACTCTGTAAGTCTTCGACATTGGATGCTGACCACATTGGTTTTAATGGACTCACCTAGCTGAAGGCGCTCGGTCATGCATCCGCACCAGATTACGAGTGGGAACGCCGTGCTTAACAACCCCTGCAATCGCTAGCCAGATTAGATCAGACAATGCTTGATATATTGATGGCCTATCAAATATATCTTCGAACCTTCTTAGCTTCTGTCTTTTGATTTCACTTGGTGGGTACGATTCATATTAGAAAGTGTTACTGGTTAAAGCGTTGTCAAACAACGAATACCTGTGGCATCTTCAGCCTCTACAGTGGACAAGTTATTGTATGCACTATTCTTAAATCAAATCATTCAACTGTATAGATGATATTGAAAGATATATCTGATGGGTCAGTGTAACCAAAGTTCACAAGATATTCCAGTATTGAACTATTGATTGTTCTTCATTCGCCTTTTAAAAATCACAAAGGACTGCGTTCACCTATGCGTTTGGGAAGAGCTCGCTGTGTACATTTTGATAGAGTATACTCAGAAAGATCGAAAGTAATCAAAAAAATAGTTTCCTAAGGATTTCAGGTATATATTACTGACATGTAACACGGAACCTATAGTGTCGGTTGCTATGTTAAGCACACATAGCTTATTCTGACCTTCAGACAAGTCAATTTATTCACCATTCTTCAGTCACATTTTAACCTTCTAAATTATTTACTTATCAAAATCGATTGATTCTATGTAAGTGTATTTGTGTATATTTCCTATCTTACCCACCACATGTCTGTAACTTAATTTTATTTCATTATAAATGTCGATTAATACTTGAATAAATCGAGTTGGCCAATACACTCTCTCCAATTTGCTTCACTCTTCTGTCCTTGTTTCGTCTCCTTGATTGCCTATTACAAATCAATGAGTACATGAAATATACATATTCC